CAAACGAACAAAACGAACAAAATGTATCTAAATATACTCACTTTCTGAGTGAGCAGAAAAAATTTTTATACAGAATTAAAGTGAAAATTTCTTTGCATGAAAATTAAATAAGGAAGACTTCGTCAACGGTAAACATTATCTTAAGTATTACCGAGAAGATAAAAAAGATTTCAGATTTTGTTTGATGTTCGTAATGCGATGTAATACACAAAAATAGACGATGAGTTAATTAGGACCGAAAAGGGTTTGTCATCAAAACATTTTTCTAATCTTTTGACGTTGTTGGTGTGAAGTGGAAAATTCGTTGACAAACTTCTGTTTACAATTTTATTTCTTTGTTTTTTATTTGAAAGAAACATAAACAAAAATAATTTACAAAATTTCTTTTTATGCCATTTGAGATTTTGAGATACATTTGCTACCAGCTGACAGACAGACATAAGAAACGTGCTATTATAAATACACAAAAGACGTTGATGGGAGATTTGACTTGATGACTGATTAAAACCCAACTGCTAAATCAGATAAAATAAAATTTATTTCAAATTAAACAGATAAAATCTTGCGTAAAATTAATTAATTTAATACAAGTAATTATAGAATCTTATGTATACATAAGATTATGGCAGAATACTTTAAAACGTGTGGAGGTGGGAATTTGCAAGATTATTTTATACATTAACTAAAACGCAGAAATGGATAAACGAATAAATTTTATATTTTCTGTTAAATAAAAACAACAAAAAATATTAACGAAACTAACAAATGCAAAATTTATTAGAGATAAGCCAGCACGCAACGCGCAAATGATAAGATAAAGTAACCTTTGACAAGTAAATATTACAAAAAATATTTCATTTCCGTGATGGTATGGAACCGTAGCCGTGCTGATAACTTACATATCGCGAGATGTATCTAAATATGAACACATATCACGTAATTGTAGCAGCACAAATATCTTGGGGCTTGTCTGCGTGCACTTGAACTCATAATACTCTTAAACTCATTCATCCTAAGAAACACTAGAGTATTCACAAAAAAAAAAATTTTTTTTTTATTAAAAATTATAAATAAAGTTTTTCTATGGAAGGATATTAAAGGATTTAATATTAGTGATTTATGGTGTAAGTTGAGATTTATAATTATTTTTTATATTCACTTTGTGTTCGGTATCTGCTCTCGTATCAACGCAGATGTGGGTCTGGCATTGGGGCTCATTTTAATTATTTTACATTACAGAGTTTTGAGTTTTTCTAATTTAAAAATTAACTGTGGCTGCAATGTGTGGCTTAATAAAAATTATCTACACGTATATATTAAACTCAAAATTTTAATAATTTATCATAAGTTTAATGGAAATTTTATGTTCGTAATTAAAAACAAAATTTATCAAGCCAGTTATAAAAGTACACTGTATTAATTAATTTTTAAGCGAGGTAATGACTTCATTATTTCTCTTAAAAGTAAAATAAGCAATCTTAATTGCTAACTTAAAGGTAAACTCCAATCAGAAAAAAAAGTGATAAATTGAAAATATTATACAAAATGAATTACTTAAACCTTACCAAGTAAGACATCAAGTAATAGAGTTAAGGTTACTGGTGGGATATTAAACGGGTCACCATGGTCAGCGTTATCACCTTAACAAAATGGATCTGTCTAAAGAGATAGATTGTCGGCTCTGCTTAGAAGCAGACAAAACTTCCAGTCACATTCTTTGTGACTGCCCAACCTTGATCTAGACCAGGAGGAGGTCGCTGGGTCGAGAACTACTCTCTCCTGCTGACACTAGGAGATCATCAAAGGCTTTTATTTGGAAGGCTGTATGTCTTTTGTTCGGTTAGGGTCTGTTGCAGCAGAAAAGGGTAACCATATTCGCAGTGCTCCGCTCTATTGGGAACTGGTACCATGTTTATTCCTATACTTTTTTCTAAGACATTAAGTATATAATTTAGTCTACGTTAACTATTAGACGATCTAGTTGACCGCCTGTTACAACTCCTTCAAGGTTTAGCGACAAAATACTATCATAAGTACTGGTCAATTTACTTGTTTACTACAGAATTCACATTTTTACCCAAAGCAAAGCTTTGAACTTTAAACTATGGTACTTATTTTCAATCAGCAGTCGAAATACAAAATTGTTGTTAGAGATTAATAGTGTGCTTGAAATCCATTTGGAGTTATGGACTACAGTTGTGGGAGACTGTATTTTAGACAATAATAATAGAGATGATATATTTCTTTTCCTCTAAATGGAGCATATATCCTCAAATCTGACAATAACCCAACCTTTTCAGTTGGAAATACAACACTTGATTTTAACTGTGCACTGGTATATTACCAACATCAAATTACACAGCTATGAGTCCTAACAATCAATAAAGGATTTTTAATATTGCAAAAAACAAGCAAATTGAATATATATATATATATATATATATATATATAGAAAAATATAGACTAACGGACCTATTCTGTGCACTTGACAGATTTGTCAAATTCTTTAATAAAATTTTTGATTTTTATAAAGCAGAAAGCTTTTTGGATATTCTGGACACATCTTGACAAATTTCAAAGCTCAAGTACCTAGTGCTTCTCACCACACTATGGTGTAAAGTGTTTTGTATAGAAAACTGTTCGTAATTGTTCGTAACTGTTCGTAAAAAATGCTTGTAAAGAGCACATATTTTAAGTTGCCAAAAGCATTTTTCATGCATTCAAATAACAATAAAAAATATGCTTGTAAAGAGCGTATATTTTAGTTAAGAATATTTGTCATGCATGCAAAAAATAAAAAATGCTTAAAAAGAGCATATTTTTATAGTTGTCAATAGCATTTGTAGTATTGACAACTAACAAGGAAAGGAGCTTTTTATTTATGTCAGAGAATACCAAAACCTTTGCAGCAGTCAATTTTGACAAGTGTCAATGTTTGACAAGTTTATAAAGTGCACAGAATAGGTGCGTAAATCTATTCCTTCGAATTTAGATAATTTAATGTATCTTTCGACTTTATAGATGAACAATCTGATGAACTGTCCAAAAATACCTTCCTAAAAATCTGTTTTTTCGGGACACCAAAGTGGGATACTCTCACAGAGAAAATGTTTAATGGTTACGTTTTCCGGCAAGTTTCCACAATTCTAAAGTGAGAGTTATGAGGAAGTTTCTTTGCGTGGACCAATGACCAGAAAGAACTGCAATAAACCTTGTAGTGTTTATGCGATCCCTTTAATGAGTACCCAACATCTAGTTTTATTATAGGTGGGCCATGTTAACTTAAGTGCCTTTTATTTATTATTGGTAAGTTGCAGAAAGTAGAGATAAGTATTTATCTTAATTGTCTCTAGAGTAATATAAACCGGTACCGCTAGAAATGCATTCAGGGAAGCAACAGAGCGCGCTTAACTGTCAGCTTACTTGTTCCCTTCAATTTTCCTATGTCCAGCGACCCAGATAAGGGTGTTGTCAGCCAACTGGTTTAGCTTGTCGTTTGTTTCCCTACATTCCTTTGTTGTCCTTGATTTTGTGATAAAGCAATCAAAGACTTTGATTGGTGCGCGGCTGTCAATGAAAATGGTAACACTACATTTACCTTTAATGTGACCTGCAATTTACCGTAAATGTTCCCTCGACGTTAAAATTTCAGCCTGATAAATCGTAGTCTGATTAGGTGGCCTAAGAAAATTGTTTACGCCTGCAAATAGTGTGAGGATACCCGCTCCTTCATAGCAGTTTGTTTTCAATCTATCTGTGTAGATTGAGATATCCTTATTTGCTTGAAAGAAACCGTAGTTGGATTAGGTAGCCTAAGAAAATTGTTCACGCCTGCAAATAGTGTGAGGATACCCGCTCCTACATAGCAGTTCATTTTCAATCCATTCGTGTAGACTGAGATATCGTTATTTGTTTGAAATTTCCTTTGAAGAGAATATTATCTGAAAATTTCTTTCAAAACTTAGGCATGGATTAAGATAATTCGATGATTTGTTGCTATAGTTTTAAAATTTTTATTATTAATTATTATTATTTGTTTTTATTATTTATTATTTTATTATTTTGTTACTTTTATTGTAATGAATATGATTATAAGCTGCAGTCAAGATATCCATATTAATAAAGTATTTCCGAAACTAATTTAAAAAGTTTTGTATTTTTTACCATTGATAAGTAAGTCCGTATAAAAATATATAATTTTGTACATTTGATATTGTCATTAAAGCAATATTTTAATAGCTTGTATTGAATTACAGTCATCGCTCTTATAAAGTGACCTTCATAAAAAGTGTACTATATGCAATTTACCTTACCTGACTTTATGGGGTTCTTAAATTTTTTTTTTCTTAAAAAGACTAAATTGTTCTAAAAATTTTCATTTGGGCTTTTAAAAAGCCATTTTATGAAGTATATTTATCCTTCAATCTCTAAAGATATTTCTCATATTTTATGAAATATAAAACATGAAACAATTATCAGCTTAACTGCATTTTAAGTGCTTAATCCTCCATAAAAAAAAAGTGCACTTTGCACTACTAACGAGTGCCAAATCTCATCCAGAGTGTTTTGCCAAAATTGAATTTTACTTGATCCACAAGCAAATTGCCATAGTAAAACTGAATTTAATAAAGAATTTTTTTTTGTGAGATGCATACAATGATACTAAGTACGAGTATCTAAAGTATGAGTATCTGGTATCTTAACTGTTGGTTTTGAGTTATCTGCCGCATATACCATATCTGATCTGTCAGTTTGTGTGCACGTTTGCCTAAGTTTATGGCGTTTGTACGCTTTAATTTATGGAAGATATTTCAGTGCACCCCGTGTGTGCGGACTTTATCTGTTCTTGCCTATTTAAGTCAAAATATTTTGATGCGCACACACACATGCACACACTTTGTATCTACGAAACATATTTTTTATAATAAAATTTTTTTTTCTTATTTTGTACTTTCAGCTACACGGGTAGATTTTGAGAATTCGTATCTGTTGCTGCTGAAGATGCTGGGACTGCAGTAGAACGGCGATAGGCGTACGGTACGTTAGGAACTTTTAACGGCTGCTCACTAAAGTGTTAACACGTTTTCGCATTTGTCGCTTTATCGGTGACGGAAATTAATTTATTAAAGCGCGTTTCAGCTCGGCAAGTTTCATAGAAAAAATTCCAAATTTTGACTTGCATAAATTAAGCTTCAATTAACGATTCCGTGGCGTGCATGTGAACAAAAATTTTCACAAAAAGTCAAAGTTCAGTGGAAGCTGAGCCACCAAACAGCTTAATTGAATTATTAAATTTTAAACTGAAGTGGAACAAAATTTTATGCTTCTTATTAAGAATTAATAAATAAAACGAACTCTGAGATGCGGTTTTCAAAATTCGTATTGCATGTGAAAGAAAACAGTGATATATTTGTGTAGATATACGTTCGTCAAGATATAAATATTATTATGTAATTTAAAAAAAAATATAACTGATAAGTCAGTATCAAAATGACCTTAACTGAAGTATAAATTAAAGTTAAATAACAAAGAATTATATACGCAATGTTTGATATGAAAACTACAACTAACTTAACAGCAGGTGTGGGGGAACTATTAAATGCTTCAACTTCATCTTTTCAAGAGAATACAATAACAACTGAAAGTTCTTTCAATGATTTGATAGGAAATATAAGCACAACTGCATCTGATTTGCTAACAGAATGGATCTCTACAACAATTTTGGGAACAAGTAATTTTAATCTAACCAATAATGACACCGAAATTGATGGTCTTTTATTAAATGACACTCTAAGTGATGGCCTATTTGACGACCTGCCATACGAACCTTGTTCCCCATTTAGCAAACATTTCAATTGCACACCGGAGGAATATTTAACTTATTTGCAGGGACCTCAAAGACTGCCGTTGCATACGGTACTGCTGGTGAGTGCTAGTCTGCATAAATAAAAAATATATATTTTACACTTATATACTAAAAGTTGAACTGCAAAAATTTAAAACTAATTCGCAATAGTGTCCATTAGGGCGACTTAAACTTATCACAATATTTTACAGATTATATATATTTCATAGAAAATGTACATATAAACATTATATGATATAAGTATATATATAAGTATTAATATCAATATACATGACCAAATCACTACAAAATACTGAATTCTGGAAGAACAGAACATCTATCATTGGAAATTCATAGATTAATTTTAGTTTTTATTTAGTGCTTCTAAAGTAATTCGCATGTTATTAAGATTCGTTCCGTTTTCACATCAGTAGATACTCTAGAACTTTAGACAGACTAACAGAATAATGTCCCAAAAAATGGTGTATGTATTGTTAGCATACAATAAATGCGAAAATTGCCTGAGTATTCTGATATTTTTAAGATACCACCTAATACTGAAACAGTACTAAGCGAGGTCTCACTGTTCTTCAATATAAGTACAGTGAGTTTTGATCAATTTTTATTTCAATATGTTGTTTGCACCGCATAATTGAGTGTGAAATATAACAATACATTATTCAATACTTTTTAAACGTTATATTAATATATACTCCAATAGGTGTGAAGTCAAACATTATTTTTAATATACGAGTATAGGTATGTTGAGAATATATATATGGTATATAATGTATACATTTTATATATAGGTCGCGGTACATCGTGCTGTATTACATCTTTTCTTCTTATTATAAGTCAAACATTATTTATAATATATATGTTGAAAATATATACCATATATGGTATATAATGTATACATTTATAAAAATATATGTCGCGGTATATCTTGCTGCATTACATCTTTTTTTCTTAACTTTTCGTCACATAGGTGACAATATCTCAAACATAAGTGGATGCCAATTTGCAATCCGTTAAAAGTTTCAGTATAATCACAATTCTTTGCGTAGTCCCAAAATAATAAGTCCAGTTCAGACAAATGGTGCCCAATACAATTCAATAGTGTTTCAGTATTAACAAATAATCCCATCGTATGAAAAATGAGCCCCATCAGTAAAGAATATTCGTTATGAAAAATCATCATTATTTTTGAAGTTATTAAGCTATTCTTAAACGATTCACATTTGAAAATAACAAACTCTAATCGATAAAACTAAAAGGATAATATTTTTACAATTTTTGTATAAACATGTGATAAATGTTGCATATGAACAGAACTATCGCATTAGAACTGTAGAATAGAGAACCTTTTGATTACACTTGGATGATCGTATTCGACGTTAAGAGTATACTACATCAGTTTGTCTTTTCACGACCATCTGACAAATATTCCATGTAATCGGAACTGTAGAATTAGAATCGAGAAATAGAGAACCTTTTGATGACCCTTAGATAATCGTATTGGATGTTAAGCAATTACCACAAAAGGTATAATACTTTTATGATATTTGGACGACCATCTGACAAATATTTCATGAGAACAGAACTATCGAATTAGAACCGTGAGATTGACAACATTTTGATGACTTTTGAAAGATCGTATTGGATGTTAAGCGAATACCACAAAAAGAATAATAGTAAGTATCTGATAATGTTGCATACGAACAGAACTGTCAAATTAGAACCGTGAAATAGACAACCTTTTGATGACCCTTGTATGACAGTTATATTTGTTATATGTCAACTGAACCGTGTTGTCAGATAAGGACCACAGGATAGGACCAATTAATTTGTTTTTTTTTTACCACGATTTATGCATCCAATTAAATATTACTTTCAATAATATTTATGCTTTAGTTATGGAAATGTTTTTGGTTAGAAATTATCCTAATCACATACTTATTAATTTATGAAGTATTTATTGTGTTCTATCATGAGTTTGTGTACCACAGTTTTGCGTTTGAAATAAGAGCCAGAGATACGTATGTTGCTAACGAGATACAAATTAATTATACCACTTCTACAATTTTCATTTTGCATTTTTAATAAGTTTCTATGCAAAAAATACTAAAACTCAAATTTTAGCGAAAGCAATTATTTCACTACAAAACAATTTATATGCAAATTTCCATGGCGAAAAACTTAATATCGCAGCGTCGGTTATCGCAGCTAAAATGCAAATTTTATGAATTTCAGTTTCCTAAATACCTGAAATAGTTATGCATTTTCCACTTAATACATAATTAACTATTATTAAATACTTATTAGAGGAAAATAAAATTATAATAATTTGTTACCGGGCTAATTGGTCAAATTTTAATATAAATAAAAAGACACTAATTTATTATTTATATTTAAAAATCGTTTATATTTTATTTCCGATATTTCGACTATCTTCGATAGTCATCTTCAGGGAAAACTACACAAAATATAGGATGTTCACATTTTTATAGCGGATTATAAAGAAAAATCGTACAATAAATACAATAATAATGATGACAACAAGAGAAAAAAAAAAAAAACAACAATAAAAATACAAAAGAAAAATTAAAATTATAAAAAAAATTTATAAAAAAAAACAAAAAAAGCTTTACAAACATCCTGTGTCATTTGTTTATAATATTCCTATAAGCCTGAGCACAGTTGTCCGTATCAGTTTTATAATTAAGTCTTATATTATTGGGCATTTCTAGAAAGTACCTCTTATTATGGTTCCTTTCTTCATATAAAATTTTTGCCTTATCAAAATCAGGTTCATGTTTATGCTCCATACAATGCACAGCCAATGCTGTATTGGCTTCAGCACCACTTTTATTTTTTAAAACTGTGTTTATGTCCAGCCATCCTTGTCCTAAGCTTATTTTTGGTCACAAATATAAGTATTTAATATTTATAGGAAAATAAAATGGAATAATTAGAGACAAAAAAACTTCAACATATTTCACACTTCAGAATTTAATTAAATTATTTTGTTCCATGCAATAATTTCTAAGGCAAAATATTCGCTGCACTGAGTTTCCAAGGTGATCAATAGTTCAGAGGATTCTCAGTGAAAAGGTTAGTTATTAGTCGAGAAATAAAATTATTATTTTTCTCACATTTATGTAAAGTCTGAAAAGGTTTCATCCAAAACATTTCAATTGAAGTTTTGAAGTGTTTTGTTTGGATTTCGGTCTAAACTTTTGCTCGTTTTTTTATGCAGTTTTTGAAAAGGTTTCCCAAGTCAAGTGCGATGTATGAGCACGAGTGTGATTTGAATTTATTTGCCTTATTTTAAAGAAGAAAGGAAAATATTTTTATTTATGATTTTTCCAAGTTGATTCATAAAAGGATTCCAGGAATAAATAATCCTAAATTTTATTAGCGTAAATCAATCAATTGTCGACTTGCAAGCATGCCTTTTGTATAGTACAAAACTCAGACCCGAGCAAACTCAATTTTAGGTAATATAAAAATTTTTATATTCAAAATATTTCAATCACACATTCTTTCCTCAGTTTTGTAGAAATTTTGATTTGTGTTTGTTGAAAACATTATAGACACTTCCATAAGTTTAAGGTTCCTTGACTTTTATATTAACTTTTTTGTTAGCTATTTTTAAATTGTTTGGTTTTTATTTTTAGAAATCCGTTCTCAACTGGTTATTTCCAAATAATTTTAATTTTAATATTTTATGCTCGAAACCTTTATTTGCTTCTTATCTTACCTTTCTTCTCTTAATACATCTAAACAATAAAAAATAAATTTAATTTGTTTGATTTTTTATTTATTAAATATTAATACTTTATCATCCTTTCTTTTAAATATTGTGACTTTATTGTTTACCACATTAAAAACCAAGTTCTTCTAGACATAAGAAAATACTTACATCTCTATTTCACGTAAGACCCTTTGGAAATAAATCTAAACATAGTCTTATCGATAGGGAATTTCTTTAAGTGTCTAGAGACTAGAGACCTTATATATTCACATATATATATTTCATTTACTTGAAAGTAGAAGTACTGAAGAGGCTCAAAAAGTCTTCGGATACTGTATTCTTTATTTTATTTTGTAGAGACTGGATGTATTATCTTTAAAGCTTGGTTTTCTTTAGAGACTATAAAGTCGTTATCAATGATCTTAAAGTCTGTGAAACAAATGGGACTTAAATTAAATTGGAATAAATTGACTTAAATTCAAAAAATCAATTCCAATCTTTTTTGTAGAAATACGTTCCACTGATGTTGGTGCTATGGAATGTTTTCGTGAAAAAAAAAGAACCTACATTTACCAACAATCAGATAATCAAATGGCATCAAAAGCGCTCCAAACGATTATCTTACCGTCTTATGCTGCAATAGGAGCGATAATACGTCTATATATTTGACGTCATTAAGGAATCAAAAAAAATCTATTACTTTAAAAATGATAAATTGTTGCTTAAACCGAGTAGATTGTAAGTTGTTGTTTGAATGGAGTTTACGAAATAAAGCCAATAAAATGGTTGATAACCAAAGTAAAAGAGAGGTATATTTGTCCTTTATTAGTCGTGAAAATTTCTGTGAATGCAAAAACGCTGCTTAAATGATATCATCAGAAAATGGGTGAAAAAAAAATTGTAGATCACTGGCTTAATAGTGTAAGCTAAAGCAAACAAAATTATTTCTTTTTCAAACGTTTTTATCAAAATCGGTATTTATAAGGTACATTTATTAAACATTGTGGACTTAAGGCGTGGAGGGGTAATGAAAATTAGGTCAGTTTAAAGGTTACAATTTCCTGTATAATCACTTAAATAGGTTACTGGTCTGCTTTCACCACATTTTTTGTGAGTATCCAGCTCTTACTGGAGAAAGGTTGCAATGTGTTGTAACCTTGCTCTAGATTGCAACACTAGAATGATATTGGTATGCTTTAATATAAATCAGAAGATAACAAATCCATTACTATGCTAAAATTAATAAAAAACGGTAATTTATAATAATCCAGACAATACGCAATACATCTATTCGGTATGCTTTTTTTTGTAGTAGATAAAAGC